TTTAAGTGAGAAAGTCCACCTGAAAACTTAATAATTGCAGTCAGTTCATCCAGATTATCTATTTCTGTCGGAGGCGCTCAGACCCCCACATACCAGCGGTGCACCGACAGTAAATCCCTTCAACAGCAGCCTCACCGCGGCTGCTGGCAGGTGTTTTTCATCTAAATAATTTTAGCTGCAGGCACCAGGATACCGGTAATAAAAGCGAACATATTCTGTCGGCAGGTTTCAGGATTTTAAGTTAATTTAGGAGTGACCACAGCGCTGTGTCATCTGTCTCACGGCCAGCTGCCAGGTTTGATTAATACTTTGTAATAAATACATGAATAAAGCACAGTCATACTCAGTTTTGCCCCCGCTGTATTTTTAAATACGCAGTAGAGGTATTTAAAGGTAGTAGAGGACATGCACCTGTATATAAAAAACGCGCCCTATAGTCCGGTGCGCCTTATGTGTGTGTTAAATACAGAAATGGGACACATAACTGAGAGTGCGCCTTTTAGTCCGGTGCGCCTTATGGTCGTGAAAATACGGTAAATGAATTCCCAACAGCCAGGTTTACTGCATGGTTTTGACTAGTTAGCTTGTCAATAAAGATTTACACAACATTGTCAAAATAAGCACTTAAAGGAAACAAGAATCAACACCTGTTTGTCAGAGATGTGTTTCTGTTTTAGCTTACCGTAATAGTAATTGAACTTTATTGATCACAGTGGAGAAATTCACCTCGCATTTAACCCATCCCCTTGGGAAGCAGTGGGCTGCCATTGTGCGGCGCCTGATGAGCAGTGTGGGGTTAAGGGTCTTACTCAGGGACCCAGTGTGAAGGCTGTGCGGATCGAAACGGGTACTTGCAACCTTCTCAGAGCACAAGCGCACTGCTCTAACCACTAGGACACCACTCCCCTTTGTGCAGAAAACCTCACTAACTCACCATAAATTTTACTTAAAAAGCTAAATATCAGAAGAAGTGTACGTATAAACAGGGAATTCATCTTACAATTGGCAATTAAAATATTTTAAAGAAAAGAGAAAAAAGAAATAATCACTTAAGAGGAAGCCATTAAAATGACATAAAACGTAACTACTACATTTCAATGTGATAGACCAACATAAAGTAGTACATAATGGAAAGTGGGAGTGATAATTAAAAAAAAAAGCTGACTAGTGTGGCATGCATTTTCATTCTACCCTTACCATGTACGAGCAGATGCCTTTACAATTCAAAAGTGTAAAAGGATCCTTGGTTTGTTAGAAAAAATATGAGAAAATCATGAAGACAGAGGCCCAGATGGGACATTTTTAGAAGTCAAATACTAAGCTTTGAACCTCTCTTGTGAAACCCATTTAAATGCTGCAAAGAAAAGGTCAGACTGGAGAGGAGGTTTAACATCTAGGAGGATGTAGAAAGAAACTGCATCCTTAAAAGTAAAGCTGAGGATTTCCGCAAAGTTTTTAAAAGACCCGCATATGCACAACCCTGTAATCGCTCCCGAGGCAAAACACCTATTAAAAAGGTGCAAGAGCGTGCACAAGCTTATTTCTCCTTGTGCACGCTCTGTTTAAAATATGCTGTTTGCATCGCTCTTACAAGCTTACTTTCCAATAGACGATTTGCAATTTTTCTGCTATGCGAGACTTACCACTGAGTACGTAAACATATCACCAGAACGAATGACAATTTGGAGGAGCACTTATGTTGATGATCCACACAGAAAAAGAACATCCTCCAATATACCTTTAATCATCCCTACTTAAGCTTGAACTGCAGTAGCCACAGTCCAGACTTGAAACCAGCTGAAAAGCATTGGTGTCTAAAGATGCTTTACGTTCAAATAAACTGAGTAGTTGAAGGAAAATGCTAAGAAAAAGCTGCAAACTGCCTTTCTCTACAGCTGACAGCAACATGTCCCACATGATCAGCATCTATACCTGCAGTGAACTGGTGCTTCTACAATGTACTGGCTTAGGCAAATGAATACAAAAGCCTAGCAGCACAATGCCTAATTTTTATTTGTGAAAACAAAACATAATAAGTTGAAAATCACGTATCTTTACTTTACAACTATAAACTACACTGTGGAAGTCTGTTTAGAGACGCCTCTACATATTTAGGCTGTTTATGAGGATGCTGGTTCCACAACTGAAGACCAAAGAGCTCAAATGAAGTTACCTCTTGTACAGTCCTGGTCCTAAAACCACGGACTTATATAGGGGTGCAAATAATAATCGTTTTGTATCGATGCATCGATCCAACAGCCGACGATCTGATGCATCGACACGTTCGCAAGAGTATCGATTCATGTTTTTTTTGTTTTGTTTTTTTACCTCCGGTCTTTTTTAATCATTTGCTTCTGGACGTTATTCTGACTCCCGTGCTGCGGTGGCGCTAAACCTATTTTACCCTCCTACCTCGCTTCCTTTAGCCATTACGCTCTTTCCGCTTGCAGTATTTTTTTATGCAAGGCCTTTCAGACTGTATAACACAGAGGCATTATTATTTTTCAGTGAATGAGGTTTTCACAGGCCTAGGTGGAGCAAACTTTGCTACGTCTGTTATTTGCTGTTGTTTCTAAAAAAAAATGCATAACGATATTACAGCTTTCTTTGATTTATTTCAAATTTGAAACATTGTCTAGCCTGTAAGGTAAAAAAAAATTATAATTAACCAATGAATCAAATCGTATCGTGGTGTATACTTGGGTATCAAAAGTAATCGAATCGTTGGGTCAGGAAATTGCTACCGAATCGAATCGCCATGATGGGTAGGATTTACACCTCTGGCCTTATATAAGGTTAAAGGGCCTAAGATGGGATAAAGTTTGTGTCCTATATGAGATTTTAAAATACACTCAGCTCCAAGACCATTTAGCAATTTAAGAAAAACATAACACAGGTTACAAAGTAATAAAGATAAAACAGTTGTCATAATATGACGTAGCATGGCAGTAATAGCTAATACCTTGAAAGAGCAACATTAGTTGTTTACCTTAAACATAAGCTGCATGTTTTAATTTAAATTCTTGCGAAAAGGGCAGATTTTCAGTAAGACTCAATCATGACACCGAGTGAAACTAAATAAACCAGACATCCCAAGTCTCCCGGAAGTTCCGGGAATCTCCCTGATATTGATAGTTGTTCACGGAAGCCTACGGGTCGGATAAATTATCCCGGATTTTAGACTTTGCGAGGTGGTGTTTATTTAATGCGAGTGAGAGCGAGCAGGTAGTACAATAATTCATGCATCATGTGTAGATAAGAACCACTGCGATTGCGCCGACAATAAGAGAGAGTGGGGTGTGGGGAGGAGGTTACTTGTGAAACCTGTGCAGCGTATCTGTCCAAAGCGATGCTCTGTTCAACCAGCGTTCCAGGCGACTGGTTGATCAGAGCTGATTGGATCAGTCCGATAAGTTTCTCTGGGTTACTCTTTGGCAGTCACCTAGTTACCACTCAAAGCTGAGCATCCTGTGAAACGGCAGAGGTTGAATGCTGGAGTAAAAAATGAAAATGTAGGACTAATTTTACAGCAGAATATACTAAAGTATATCCAAGTTTAGTAAAGGTGAGGAACAGTGGTGGATCTAGACTAACTGTACCAGGTGGCCAGGAGGGGGGCAGCATGTTTTCATGGGGGCCCAGAAAAGCATGAAATAAAAAAGAGGGCAAGAGATTCAAATATATTAAAAGAGCTGCATGAAGTGAAATTTCTTTTCAATTAGGTTCAATAGAAATTCTATTTCTTATGAGGCCAATAGACAGTTATAATTTACATATTTTTGACTTAATTGAAGTTAAAACTACCGTTTACTATAAAATTTGAATAAGAACAAAAGAAAAACTGTTAAATTCATCTGTAAAAATTAAAGCATTCTTTTTTATTTGTGGAAAAAAAACATTTAGCAGATGAAAACTGTGATCCTATCTCAATACCACTGAAGCTATCACCTAATTATTTTTGAATAATTAGTAAAACAGAATTTTTAAAGAAAAAGAATGAAATAGATCTCAAGGACCTATCAGTAACCATGTCTGTTCCAGCGCATATCATCATTAGAATTTCTTTTAAGTATTATGTCTTCAGCATCTCCCTGAAATCAGTTTTTGGAGCTTGGGATGTCTGAATAAACACAACTGGATGGATTAACAATGATTACAAGTCAGACCATCAACTCAGCTTAAGAAATGTAGATCGTATTGATTCCCTTACCAACATACTTGGATAAATAACAGACAGACGAGTACAGAAACACCTTCCTGGTTAGAAAAAGCCTCCCTAATCGGACCGGAACCATAATAATGAAAGCATTTGGCGGAAGTTACGTCAAACATTCACGATGGCTGCAGTTAGCTCACGTGAGTCCATCACGGACCACACTCCATACCAGTAAGTGGCGGTAATGCTACTAAATGTTTGTTGTCAACCGCCAATAAATTCAAGAAGAAGAAGAAGTTAGCTCACGTGAAAACAGGAGTTCTGTGTTTTAAAACTTTCTGCTAAAACAAATCACATAAACATGAAACAAAGTTTGAGTTAAGTGATGAAAAAATAAACCAAACTTAATCTGAACCTTAAAGGACCGTATAATCCTTGCTTTTAGTTGGATCCGTCCATCTGAATTAAGTGTTAATTTTGGTACCACATGCCATTCAATATAACTCGTAAAAAATAGTCTGCATTAACCTCCTATTAGTATGATTTACCTTTTCAGCTGTCCTTTACTAATTCGCCTTGTCTCCCCACTGCATGAACAGTATTTTTTCTGAACTCCCGCGAGATGAGAGTAGTTACGGCGAGATTCAACGTGACTGGAATAAACCACGTTGCACACAAAATATTGTTTTATTAATATTCTTCTAAATAGCCTTCATGGTGATCTTGGTTTATTTTTTTATAAATCTTATAGGCTCACGCTTTAAAAATCAGAGTGGATCTCCCTCTAAAAAATAGTTTCTGAGCATTTAGTACCCAGATTTCTGGGTATTTGGTTCCGCCCTCCCCGCCCGTGGAGCCTTCCAGAAGTCGCCGGCAGATCCGTGCGACTTGCAGCTCAGCAGCACTCTAGATCAACATCGTTAAAACTCGCGTTTCTAAGTACTGAGCACCTGTCGAGACTCTTAAATCTACAGTCAAGATGTCCACTCTGGGCACATTGGCATTTGATGAATATGGCAGGCCCTTCATCATCATTAAGGACCAGGACAAGAAGACTCGGCTAACGGGCATTGACGCATTGAAGGTACAATGGGCTAGCTAGCAAAAAGTTAGCATTTCGATTAAAAGCAGTACATTTCATGGTTCCTTTGTATTTGGGTTACGCGCGAAATAATCGTATTAAAAAGGCATCCCTCGTCTGCATTCGGGAGTTGTGAAAACAGTCTGAATGTTATTAATCGTCGGTGAAGCAGCTGTCAGATGTGTAAGCAGTCATGCTAACATTAGGGCCCATGTGCTCCTTGGGTAGCGCTCAGACAGGGGGTGTTTCCTTACATAGAGAGTCCTGCACACCATGGTCAGTGGTGATGCTAATCAGCTCAAATACCAATACATATGAGAATATCTTAACTGTTGAGAAATAATAATGAATAATTTTTAAATGTTGTGTTTTACAGTCTCACATCATGGCAGGGAAAGCAGTCGCTTCAACGCTGAAAACATCCTTGGGACCTAATGGTACGTAATGATAATAGTATTAATTGAACTTTATTAATCTCACATTGGATAACTTTACTGTGCATTTAACCCATCCCCTTGGGGAGCAGTGTGGGGTTAAGGGTCTTGCTCAGGGACCCAGAGTGGCAGTCTGTGGGAGTGCGGCTTGAACTCAGAACCTCTTCCAATTTCTATGCCCTAACCACTAGGCCTCCACTCCCCTAATAGTTGTCTAAACCGCTGTTATTTATTATTTTACTAAGGTACTTAAATATTGTGTGTTTATTAGGTCTGGACAAAATGATGGTTGATAAGGATGGAGAAGTGACTGTCACTAACGATGGAGCCACTATTCTCAGCATGATGGATGTGGACCACCAGATCGCCAAACTTATGGTGGAGCTGTCCAAGTCCCAAGATGATGAGATTGGTGACGGGACCACCGGAGTTGTTGGTACGTTAGTAGGTGCTGATCTGTGAATGTACCTCTGGATGCATTCTGCTGAAAGTATTGGAAACTAGTAGCTTTACACATAAAGACTTTAGGTATGGCTATTTTTTTACTTTTCTTTTTTTTTGGCAAGATAAAAAGTCGATTAAATTCTTATTGTGATAATATAGGAGCTCTTGTTAGTCAAATATGTGTGAACTGAAAAAGAAATTAAGAGGTAGTGACCTTAGTACAAATGGTGTGCATTACAACTGGGTAGGAAGATTCACCTGCCTCTAGTAAATCCTTCGTTTTATAATAGGAATAATAAGGTCTCTAATTTACTTAATGTACAGATTAAGACTTAGACAGATGTTACTTGTCATTTTGTTTTCCCAATTGTAAAACAGAAGGAAATTTCGTTTGGAACAGCTCTCTGGACAATTTCATCTTTTTAAAAGTGCAGCCTTGAAAAAATAGTAAAAAAATAGATATATATAATACAATACAATAGCCCATTTTACAAAACATTCAGCAGTCGGTAACTATTTAGCTCTTCAATGTTTTCTGTCCTGTAGTGCTGGTTGCCTTTATTTGTAACTCGATATGAAGAACAACAGAGAGAGAAGGGCGTGCAGAAAATAAGACCCTAAACAGGTTGTTTTGAAAACTGTAGCCACATTATGGCTTAGCCATTAAATGTGCCTAAATAAGAAGCAAAATCAATACAGTTTGCTGTCCCAACATCTGTACTATATCACTTGAAGTCAAATCTCATTGAGTGCAGCTTGGCGAGAATGTTCTGACTGCTCAGTTTGTCAGCTTACCTGCAAAAATGAAGACCCCTCTTGGCTCTCTGGAACTTTCCAAAGCTTATAGAATCCTTCATTGAAGCAGTGAACACAGAGCCTCTATAGATTGCATCCAAAGGGTTCTTCAGACAGATGGTTGTTTTTTTAAGGTTAAGAAATTTAAATAGCTATGTCCACACTTTAATGTTTGTAAACTATTGATACTGAAATGAACAGATCTTGATGACTAACCACAGCTGTTCTGTTATGTTCCATATAAACGCCTTACCATCTCTAAAACTTAACTCCTTGCTCAAATGCAGCTTTAGATTCTGACAATCTGCTCATTTTTATCTTTGCCTTCTTAGTGCTTGCTGGAGCACTGCTGGAGGAAGCAGAGCTGCTGCTGGACCGAGGAATCCACCCCATCAGGATTTCCGATGGCTATGACCAAGCCGCACGTATAGCCATAGAGACGCTGGACAAGATGGCTGAAAGTTTCCCCTGTGACCCCAACAACACTGAACCTCTCATCCAAACTGCCATGACAACGCTGGGATCAAAAGTGTAAGTCATTCGGTGCTTGGGTATTTCATTCAAATTTATGTTTTTTTTCTAAGCAGAATATTCTGTTTCATGAATCGATTGGTAGTTGAGAACATTATTTCCTTTGAACAAAGACTTTGAAATTGCCCATTAGCCACAGAGCTCAATGGTTATGCCTGCTTGGTTTTTAAATGTATGTTTTATTTCTAGAATTAACCGGTGCCACAGACAGATGGCAGAGATCGCAGTGAATGCCATCCTCACTGTGGCCGACATGGAGAGAAAGGATGTTGACTTTGAGCTCATCAAGGTGGAGGGGAAAGTAGGAGGAAAGCTGGAGGACACACAGCTCATCAAAGGGGTTGTAGTCGACAAGGAGTTCAGCCACCCTCAGATGCCCAAGGTATGAATGAGTACATAAGAAAGATCGTGGGAGAAGTGGGTCTTTCTAAATCTATTAAATATCTGCTTCTGATCCCTAATTTGGAAAGTGACAAATATTTTAAGTCATATAAGGAATAAATTAAACAGGATCAGGGACAAATAAATGTGCGTATTATATCTATGTTATAATGGGACTAATGACTCTACTTTATCTTTTATTCAGACTTTAAAGGATGCTAAAATTGCGATTCTAACCTGCCCATTTGAGCCCCCGAAGCCCAAGACCAAGCATAAGTTGGATGTCACCTCAGTTGAAGACTACAAAGCCCTTCAGAAATATGAGAAAGAGAAGTTTGAGGAGATGATCAAGCAGGTAGGTACCGAAAATGAATGCTGTTGCTGCAGGAGCTAATTATCTTGCTATTTTAAGAAACCTTTTTGTGTTTGATTTTAGGTGAAAAGCACCGGTGCTAACTTGGCCATCTGCCAGTGGGGCTTTGATGATGAGGCGAACCACCTTCTGCTGCAAAACGAGCTGCCTGCTGTGCGCTGGGTCGGGGGGCCAGAGATTGAAGTAAGAAATGGTTTAAATGTGCTAAAGTCATTAACGCTGAATTTTTCCTTAAACAATTTGATCAACCAGTAAATAATTAAGTGTATTGTTTTATATACTGTTCTGTTCCTGAGTGTTCTGGTATGTTTTCCCTGTAGTTGATAGCGATAGCCACTGGGGGGAGGATCGTGCCGAGGTTCTGTGAGCTGACACCGGAGAAACTCGGTGCCGCCGGCTTGGTTAAGGAGATCTCCTTCGGAACAACCAAGGACCATATGCTGGTGATCACAGAATGCAAAAACACCAGGGCCGTAACCATTTTCATCCGTGGTGGCAACAAAATGGTGAGCAGCTACGATTCCTCACAGTGTTAAATACGGACTTATTGGTGCGTGTGTATTTTATTAACTGATTCATAAATTGATTGTTCTTAGATCATCGAGGAGGCCAAGCGTGCCCTTCATGATGCTCTGTGTGTAATTCGCAATTTGGTCAGAGACAACCGTGTTGTGTATGGAGGCGGAGCATCAGAAATCGCATGTGCCCTCGCTGTGAACCAGGCTGCAGATAAGGTAGGACTTAGAGATGGATTCAGCACCATTTAAGGGCTTACACCTCTTGATCAATGTGTGTTTTTCCTGGGCAGTGTCCATCCTTGGAGCAATATGCCATGAGGTCGTTCGCTGATGCTCTAGAGGTCATTCCGATGGCACTGGCTGAAAACAGCGGACTGAGCCCCATTCAGACTATGGCTGAAGTCCGAGCCAGACAAGTCAAGGAAAACAACCCGTTCCTTGGCATCGACTGTTTACACAAAAACACCAACGGTAAGGAGACTTCTTTCTTTTACAAACAGAGCTGCATTTATTCAATGTTTAATTGGCTTTTTTCCTCCTGGACAGACATGAAGCAGCAACATGTGATTGAAACCTTGATTGGCAAGAAGCAGCAGATCCTTTTGGCTACGCAGGTGGTTAAAATGATCCTTAAGATAGACGACATCCGAAACCCGGGAGAGAGTGAAGACTGAAGTTAAGCAGATGTAGTTTGCTCTGCAGGAGGCGTTTCAGAGGTCTTAGGCACTTCCTCCAGCTCCATGTCCACATCATAGTTGGTATCGCTATTTATCGTTTGATACAAAATGTTCAAGCTTTATTCGTTACACAGGCACCAATAAAACGTTAATCTGCTGAAATGTGTGTTTCACTTTTATTTGTATTCATGTTTGTACATTTACATTTTCTGGTATAAAATGTTAGGATACATTTGTTCTGTTTAGAAGTGTTTCTCTATTTCATTCAGACAGACTTCATTACCCAGACATTAAGAAAATACAAAAGTAAAATCAACCCAGACACACAGCTACTGATGTGATTCCGATTATAGCTTTCAAGTAAAATATAGATTTTTCTTCGTTTACATGTTTTTCAGATGTACTTATTCAGCCAGTTGAGCATATCCTTCCTCGCCTCCTCGATCTGGGGCTTATCAGCAGGGTTGATGTCCTCTCTCTTGCGGTGGACAAAACCATGAGTCTGCCCAGGAAATATTTTCACCTGGTAGTCCACTGTGCATTTCTCCTTCAGTTTAGCTTCCAGGGAGCTCACCTGAAGGGTGAAATGTGTCACACTTGAACAATATAATGTATTTAAAGAGAAAGCAACACAAAGCAGTTCATTTATAAGTGCAAATATAAACAGCAGCCAACCAGCTTAAAGCTGGTTGTAAATCAATTGAAATTATGGAAATCCAAACAAATGACCTTTGTGGAAACCAGTTTAGTTTTTTTTTTTTTCTTTTTTATGATACTCCTTAAACCAGCGGTCCCCAACCTTTTTTGCACCACGGACCGCTTTATGTCAGACAATATTTAAACAGCAGCCAACCAGCTTAAAGCTGGTTGTAAATCAATTGAAATTATGGAAATCCAAACAAATGACCTTTGTGGAAACCAGTTTAGTTTTTTTTTTTTTCTTTTTTATGATACTCCTTAAACCAGCGGTCCCCAACCTTTTTTGCACCACGGACCGCTTTATGTCAGACAATATTTTCACGGACCGGTTGGGGGGGGAGAATACGATCAAGTAAAATGATACGACTGGCATAAAATCAAATACAAACAGCATAAAAATAAAACAACAAGCCGGTCCCATCTAGGCGTAATCGGAGAGAATGACAGACGAAGTGTGCTCCTGATGTCCAGTCTGCTCTGAAGCTTTGTTTTGGTCACTGTAACCACAGAAAATCCTGCTTCACAAAGATAGGATGTTATAGATAGGATGCGTCTTGACCTGAATGAACCTGTGCCAAGAAGCACAGATGCACCGATTGATGTAATTGGGAGAGAATACCGCAATTTTTTTATATTTTTCAAAATAAATCACTCATACTCTGATCGTCGATAAATTATATATATAAATTTATATACACTTTTCTGTGCGGCCCGGTACCGGTCCGTGGCCCGGTGGTTGGGGACCGCTGCCTTAAACCATTGATTCATGACCATAATGCATACAGACTAATATGTAGGGATAAAGGGAGTATACTTAGAAGCGCTTAATAAAAACATGTCAAAGCTGTTGTCTCTGGTTGGTTTCAAGATGTTGAGCAAACGGTCAAAAATCCAATTCTCTTCATCTGTCGGGATCACGGTGGGGCTGGTGCTCATCTAAGGCATTTAATCTATAAACAAAACCAGGGTACACCCTGGACAGGTTGCCAGTCCATCACAAAGATATACTACCATGCATACCCTCACCTCTGTGGACAACTTAGTCGCAAATTAACCTAACAGTTATGTTTGTGACTGGGAGAAAGCCCACGCATGCACGGAGAGAACATGCAATCTCCATGCAGAAAGACCCTAAACTGGGAATCAAACCCAAGACCTTGCTGCAAGAGAGAGCCACAAACTTCCACCGTGTAGCCTGCAGTGAAGAGTTCGTTAGATGAATTGTACAAAATATGCTGAATTAATGACCCTTAAATCTAGGGCTGGGTAAAAAGTTTGATTTAATCAATTTTGAATCGATTCCTTTACATTTTTGCAAAATCGATGTCTAGGGAATGTGATCGATTAGTTTTATAGTGACGCTCGTGATGTTCACATTCAAATGAGCAGGAAAGATGCACTTATAAGATTACCTCAAGCCAGACAGCTGCAAATATAGCCAATAGGTTGACTGAAGACATTAACAAATGGGGGCTGACCAGAAAACACCCTGTAGTTGTTACAGACAACGCTGCAAATATGGTTTGTGCAATGAAAATAATGCAGCTCATGCATATCTGCTGTGTGACGTCTGCTTGCTCGAGTGAGGCTTCACTTTTTACATTTTTCACAAACAAGTTTGCACTTTTGAGGCAGTTCTGTTCACATCTCATGTTTAAACTGTCTGATTTACAAGTTTGCACTTTGTGTTGAATGTGACAGGACAAAAAAACAAAATACATGAGTATTTTGAAACACAGTTGAACCACTTTCATTATTGTAAAAACAGATCGAATCGAAATGAATCGATTTAGAACTGAATAAATCAAAATCAAATCGATTCAGGACTTTGGTGAAAATACCCAGCCCTATTTAAATCCTTTTAGGGGTCATTAAACCTTTTAGGGGTGCAGGGCTAGGTTAATTGTTTTTGATACTGTGATCTTTTTCCAATATAGAAGTGGTATCGATTCAGAGGATGCGGTTGTTTCAAGTACGAGTGTTATACACTGCAGTCGAACCCGCCATTATCTGTGCATAAACTGATTCAAAAAAGCAATATTTTTTAACTGTGTATTCATGGTTATAAAAATGGAAGTGGGGTGAGCAAAGACGCCTTTTTCACTCAGCTTAAAAACATGTATGAAAATAGCTTGCTTTTTCACTCTATTCTAGTTATATTTACTGAATTTTACATTTTAAGCGTTTTTAACATTTTTGCAAGTTATTGTATAAACAATAACTTTTAGGATAAACTGTAGTTTAAAGGTTTTCGGTGGTACTTACTTGGTCTAGAGGGATGACATTATCGCTTTCTGCAAAGATGAAGAGAGTCGGGCTCTTCAGCGCATACCTGTCGTCCCTTTCACGAACTATTCCTGCAAAACAACACAAAAATCATCTAAATCCAACTAAATAAAAGCAACAGTACATATTCTGCTGAAAAAAAGAGAATACCATAGACGGACACTCCGGCTTTGATTTCTGGATATTGCAAGGCCACATAATGTGTTGCAACTCCTCCCCAGCAAAAACCCACAGTTCCGATGCGTTTGGCTCCACACTGCTCCTTCAGGTACTTCAGCACAGCATCAACCTCTCTGAGACAGAAATCATTGTCAGATTCTGTGCATTTTGTTAAAAGAATAAATAATTTAAGTTTTCTTACTTGTTAATTTCTGTTGGCTTTTTATCTTTAAGCCAGTCCTGAAAAGTGGACCAGTCTTTGGTTGGACTCCAAGCTTCCTTCCCGACAAAGAAATCTGGACAAACGGCGCTGCATAGGACAAACCATGAAATAAACATCACAGCGAATGATTGTAACAATCCTAAAGCATTTATTGGTTAATATACATAAAATAATTTCACACACATATATCCATTGGCAGCCAGCATGTCAGCCATGTATCTGGTGTTGGGGAGCTCCCATCCGAAAATATCCTGGAAGACAATCACAGCCTTGTCCGATGCAGCGGAGGGTTTAACTATATATGCTTTCACATGCTCGATCTGGACCTCCTGGCCCAGCCCTCCGTAATCAGACCGATCACCAATATCACAGGGGCACGGCTTGGCCTCATTCGCCATCTAGAAACACGCACAGATACGGTCAGATCATGAGGCCTGTCCATTTTGTCAGGCCAAATATATTTGTAGGGAAAGGGGAGACATTATAGAGTCATTTTAAATAGATTTCCCCCCAAAGAGTTGTTTAAAAGGAGATGAAGGTAGAAGGAATGGGCCTAGAGTCCAAAATGTCCATTTTTAAATTTTTTAATTGAATTCTAATGCAATAATTGACATTTTAAAAAATACTTTATTGAACATGTAACTGAGATTCTAATTGATAAATACATTTTAAATGTATTTTAAAACCACGTATAATTCTTTCACTAGCTTTTTATTCCAGTTTTCCAGCACATCATGAACTTTTTATCTAATAGCCTTATCATCTGTGAGCAGGAACTAGTGCTATGAACCATTAGCCAGACTTTAGTATGTATATTGGGAGCTGCAGCACTTTAAGATAAGTGATAGACTCTTAATTCTAACCAATATGACTAAACCCTGACCCTTCATATCTGACTTACATATATCTTTCATTTTAAAATATCTTATTGTAACTTTTTGTGTATAAAATAAAGTGTTGGCATTAATGAACAATAATAGATTAAGAAGGTATTTATTTCGAGTCACTGTTGGAGTTTTCGTACCATACCTCTAATTTCCTTAAGAACAGGAAATGTAATTATAAAGACCAGGAAAAAAAAAAAAATATATATATATATATATATATATATATATATATATATACATGTCTTTTTTTCCAGTTAATTCTATCTTCCTGACCTCTGTGCTCGTTAACTAACCTTGTTTGTTTAACTTATCTTCTATAACGTGATGAAGTCTGTCAACACACCTTTCATCAATCAACATAAACAGACATATTGGGTGTGCTCTGATGACTACAGGACATCTTTTGCAGAAAGAGTTGGTGCTATTAAGGTGAAAAGTTAATGTCCTGTGCAACAGATATCAAATGTTTGATTAAATAGCTCTAACCTTTCTGTGATCCGTCTTATTTTTTTTAATGCTTTAGCGAAGAGGGGCCCATTGTTTTTACAATTTTGCAAGTTGATCCACATAAGCTGGACTTGACAGCAGAATAATAAAGAAAGGAAGTGGAAGAGGAAAATAATGGAACAGGAAAGTTCCCATTGCAAAAAATAAATGACAGTCGATCATGTTTTGTAGAGACATGTTTATGAAAATGCTGTGGGGATAAAAAAAAAAAAATAACTTTCAAAGTTTGAACCTAATCAGTCAGTACCAGTTTCAACATCATGGTCAAATGGGTAAGAGACGCATCTCATCACGCTGCAGCACAGAGCGCCACAGGAAGTCATTCCTGACGTTGGCCATCAAACTGTATAATTCAACTCTCTGACAGTCATTTGATTTCATTCATTAATATTTATTTATTT